GGTCTTAAATCTACATAAGTTTTGTGATTTTCTTTTTAATGTTTGGATGGTTATACATTAATTTTAGCTAGTGTCACAAATTTTGCAATTTGTTCAATATGACGGTCTACCGTTTGTGCAAGATAATCAGATGGTTTGTTGTTATCAAATATCGAAGTTCTAATTTGTTGTAGATTTGGGCAGTGGTCGAGGAGGTGAATAACGTTGAAATCAGAAGATCCACAGTGCAAGCAATTTGGACGGGAAGCGCCATTCAAGAGGTGAACGTGGGTTTCGAGTGTGTGCCCAATCCTGAGACGCACGAATATCGATCTTTTCCTAGAGGAGGAGCTTATATGGTAAGTAGGTTTCTCGCTACTAGGGTTATGGCCTTTATAGTAATGGTTAAAACTGTTCCATTCACTTGAAAATATATCTTTTAGATATCTATTTACCAGTGTCCGTATATCTTTTTCGGTGAAATAGTCAGCCATATGCAGAGGCTCTCTACCGGCTTCTTTTGCTCTTTTGTCCGCCATTTCATTACCGTGTATACCTATGTGGGCAGGCACCCACATTATTTTGATTTGATTGGTGTACTGAAGTAGGATGTTGCGAATTTTCATGATCATTGGTGTGTCGTTTGATTGGTTGAAAACAGCTTCGATGGCGGATTTACAGTCGCTACAAATAAGTTTTCCTTCCATTATGAGAGGCAAAAAGTACTGCTTCAAGTAGAGCAGCGGCTCACACTGTGTCCACTGCGGCGATAAATCAATTTGGACCTGCTCTCCGATTTTGATTATTTTTGCACAGATGGTTAAAAAGTATCTAAAGGTCATGTGTGGAAAATTTCATGCAAATATCTCCATAGGTTTTCTGTCCCGAGCACCTCAAAGTTGAAGTATGTGAACAAGTCTCAAATGTGATAGTTTTCTATGTCATATTCAAAAGCTTGATACTTATAAACTATACACCGAATGTACCTTATAAGTATTTTTTCACTTAAAATAGACATTAAGCATTATGTAAATAAAAAAAAAAAATTGAAAAATTTGAAAAAAAAATTTCCTTTGACAATATATTTTGAGCCAAAAAAAATAAACATTTATGATTTTCCGTTAGACTTTTAGTTGTGTGCGAAGCAGTGCGACACATGGAGTCCTATACCAAATTAAAGCTGAGAGTCTCAGCTAACAGACTAAAAAAAAAAACCGCCCCAATTTGCCTGCCGCCGAAAAAACAATGAAAGCCCAAAAAATTACAGTAAAAAATATGCGTTATGCGTTATTTTACGCGTGCAAAAACAAGTGCGCATTCTTTCTTTCTTTGCTACTCGTTTATTTGCTACATATTATAAACAACATTAAATGTAAAATAATGTGTACGGTTATAATAACAACAAAACGTTTGTTTTAAAGTCTCTAAATGATGCTAACACACAATAAGTCATTGCCCTCTGCACTTCGTTACTCTAATATAATAATAATTTCTATCAAAGCAATATCGGTACCATAGTGTATTAATACAGTGGCCGCAGGGCGTGTTGTTGTAAAACAGAGGCGATTTTTACAACAACTTGTTGGTAATTTTCATATAGAAGAAAACAAATGAAAGCAAACGATGAAACAGTTTGACATTTGGGGCCTATAATCAAAACAAACACCGATAAAAAAAGTTCGAACATTACATTATATTTACATTATATTTGAGAGTGGTAAAGTGATAAGTGAGTGTTTATTAAGCAATTAAAGCAAATTTATTAAAAACAATGGAAAAGTCAAAAATATCTTTCAGGACGCTTTCGGAAATTGTTTTTAAATGTAAAAAAGATATTGATCTTATAATTGGTAAAGTTTTCGTGAATTATAAAATCGTGTCTGAGAAAAATCAAGAAAAGTTCAGACGGTTTTTGAAACAAACATTTATGCCTCAATTTTTAAAGAAGTGGAGCAAGAGTCAGCGTACTTCATCAAGATTTTTTAATGACAATGAAGAATGGCTAACACATTCTTATACGTTGACTGATGAAGTAGTGGATGATACAGTGGATGAAGAAGAGCAAACCCAGCCTACTCCTGGTAAACGTGGACGTCCAACGAAAACCTTTGAGGAGAGCAATGCCAGAACGAAAAGGAAAAAGCTGACTTCATTTTGTGAAGACAACTCTGAAGCAATCATATTATCTGCTGCCAAAAAAATTGAAAACAAAAATGAAGTCCAAAAATGTTTTAGCCCTGAAAAAGCACTTAGTCTCATTGTTGATGCTTCATTGACAATACACCAGTATGAAGTACTGCGAAGATCAGCAAAAGATATTGGTTGTAATATATATCCAAGCTACAAAAAGGTTTTGGCAGCAAAAAAATCGTGTTATCCAGCAAACGTAAAAGTAGAGGAGAATTTAAGCAAAGTTAGTTTGCAGGAGCTTTTGGATCACACGGCAGCTAGACTGATGAAGTCAAAATCCGAAAATGAAGTAGCATCATTTCCAAAATATATGCAACTCATGAGTAAATGGGGATGTGATGGCTCATCAGGACATTCAGAGTATCACCAAAAATTTGCGAATGAGACTTTTTCAGACAAAAGTATGTTCTTGACGTCACTTGTGCCATTGGTAATGACTGAACGGAACGATGAGTCAAAAGTTTTGTGGAAAAATTTAGAGCCATCATCAACGAAACATTGCAGGCCGTTAAAATTTGAATTTGTTAAGGAGACAGCAAGCGTAATAAATGAAGAAGTTAACCGAGTAAACCATGAAATAAATAATTTAACAAATTCAATTATTGAAGTTCATAATAAGAAATTCTTTATTACTCATAAGCTTTCATTGACTATGATAGATGGTAAAGTGGCAACAACTTTAACTGGCAGCTCTTCTATGTCCGTGTGCTTCATATGTGGTGCTAAGCCAACGGAGATGCACAATTTAGACGAATTGGCAATCAGAGCAAATTCGGGAGAGGCTTTAAAATTTGGTATTTCACCTCTGCATGCGCGCATAAAATTTATGGAATGCATATTACATATCGCTTACAATAAAAGCTTCGCAGCATGGCGAACAAATAAAGAAACCACAAAAATAAAAGAACAAGCCAAGGCCACAATTCAAAAAAGACTTAAATTTGTATTGGGAATAAATGTTGATGTGGTTAAACAAGGAATGGGTTCCAGCAACAATGGGAATACAGCTCGACGATTTTTTGAAAACCCTCAAATTACAGCTGACATAACAGGAGTAAATGAGCAACTGATTCATCGGTTCAAAATTATATTATCCACAATAACTTGCAGTCAGGCAATAGACGCTGAGAAATTCCAAATATATTGTATAGACACGGCAAAATTGTACATTGATTTGTATGGATGGTACTACATGCCCATCACAGTGCATAAAGTTTTGATACATGGTAGCAAAATTGTATCTGAGGCCATTCTACCTATAGGTAGGTTAAATATACAATTTGTTTCATACATTTTAAATTAACATATGGTTTATTTTTCAAAGGAATGTTATCAGAAGAAGCGCAGGAAGCGAGGAACAAAGATTATAGACGTTATAGGCTATATCACTCGCGCAAGACTGGGCGCTCTTCTACTAACGAAGACGTAATGCATCATTTGTTGATATCCTCCGACCCATACATCAATTCATTTAGAACGAAATTGAAGCTTAAAAAATTAGATTATCACGAAGATGTGAAAAAGTTGTTAATAAATGAAATAGAGTGAAACTGTAAAAATTTTTGTATTGGAGTTGTATGGGGGGTGGGTGTTACAGTGGGCGGATTTTCTTCATATTTGCAAAACAGCATTTAATAGATGTTATATGCATTTTTGCGAAAAATAAACATTCTAGTTACAAATTTACAGAAGATATGGCATTTTTGAAATATCATTTGTATGGGAGGTGGGCGTAAAAATGGGCGGATTAAGTTCATATTTTCAGGAGCACATTCTACAATTATAGTTTTAATGTGTTATGAAAATTGAGTTGATATATTTAAAATCATGGAAGTTATGCCACATTTTCTATTTAAGTTGTATGGGAGGTGGGCGTAAAAGTGGGCGTATTTTTGTAAAAAAAAAATTAAAATTCTTAAAAAATTTAAAATAAATTTGTGCAAAATTTCATGAAGCTCCGCAACCTCCTTGATTTATAGCCATTAAATACACTACACGGCCACTGTGTGCGCCGTCGGCAAGGAGTATACAGCAATGGTGGCACCAAACTTATTTGTCACAGCAAACGTAGTGCTGGTGCTGGATTTGGATCCGTCCGTATAAACAATCTCCCAATCATGTTTGAAGGGCTCTAGGGCTTCATTGTCTAGTTGTTTATATTCACTGTTGCTGGTAAAGTGTTTGGATTTTCTTTGTTTTCTTTGATAAGCGATGTTATGAGCGAGGAACAAGTCGGAGCTATTGCTGTTTCAACCAATGATGGAGTCGCTATGATATGGAGCTCTTTAGCTAGTTTTAAACAGCGCATTATGGTGGAAGGTTTGTTAGTTGCGATTGGTTTTTCAATGGCCGTCTTAACTTGTGCAAACAATAACTCGTTTCTGGCGTGAAACAACTTTGGAATTAGCATCATAGTATTACGTGTAGCTCTAGAGGAAATATCAGGTAATCCGGCTTCTGCGAGTGTCACTTTTGTTGGCGATGTTGGGAACGCACGAATACTTCTTTTAGCTGCGATGTGATATGGAGCATGGAGTAGCTTAATATGAGTCCTGGCGCAATATCCATATATCGGTAGTCCATAATCGATTTTTGATAACAACAAGGCCTTTGTAATATTTACAAGTGAATTCGTATGGCACAAACAACGTTTGGAGGATAAAAATTTTATAATGTTTAGTCTAGAGAATAAGCTTAACCTAACCGATTTACAGTGTTCTTTGTATGTGAGATTCTTATCAAATATTATGCCTAATATTTTTAAAGTGTTAGAATGGGGAATTTGGATGTTAGAAAAGGATATGTAGGGGAAGGAGTAATTGTGTTTTCGACATATGTATATGGAATGTGGAGCATTTGCTAGCTGATATATTGGCGCCAGAACTTTGAGACCATACATTAATATCATGTAAAATTTTTAGGAATGCATTTTTGACTTGGTTCAGGTCTATTATTTTAGTAAACACTAAAACGTCATCTGCGTATATGAAGTGATCGACAAGCGGATTAGAGGAGGTTATGGAGCTCACTTTGTTGAAGGCTATTATGAAGAGAGTCACAGAAAGGGGTGAGCCTTGGGGTATACCGTTGTGAAGGTTGTATATTTGAGATTGGTGCTTATTTAAAAAGTTTGCAACTTGACGAAAGTACCGACGCAGTGGGACTTAATCTTCTTCTCGTGTTAGTGAGGTACCCATTCGAAATGCAAATCGAAGAAGAACTTTTGATGAGCGAAGTACTTGAGACTTACACCACTAGCGACAAAACTTTTAAAGCTATCGATAAATTTGTAAAGAAAAATAGTTTGAAATAGAGCAAGTGTGCGGACATTTGCAGTGGTTTGAAAAACGAAAGGAGGAGGATGTCTAGGAGGAAGAAAGAGGTAGAAAACGCCACGAGAAGTCATTGTATGATCTGTCGGTATTCCATGGTGACTACGAAGATGCCGCCACTAGATTTAAAACCCGAATTGGATGACGCTGCGATGAGATTTTTTTTTATTGGTGACATGTATATTTTAGAGTTTCTAGCAGTTTGCATGAAAACCCCATAAATAAACAAAGTAAATCAGAAAAACGTATGTAACTTCGAAGTTAACGCCAAGAATATTGATAAGAGCCGGTTTCACCAGCAATTTAAATGGAAAATGATTTTTTAATTTCTGTCAATTTCCAATTAAAATTAAAATCATTTTTCAGTTGAATTGCTTTCGTGAAATTGGTTGTAAAAGTTATTTTCTTAGCTTTAACGCGCGTTACCAGCGTTAACTTGGAAGGTTTAGAAAAAACCATTGTCGAATATTTTCCCAACAGTTACTCTGAGGATGTCTACAGCTGGATAACAAACCCGTTTTCATATGATCCGAAAAGCAAACCTAGAGATAACAAATTAAGCTTTTGAAAGCCTTCTGGACATCAGTGAAGACAGCACTTTGAATATTAAATACTACGAAAGGAGCCAAGAGAGTTCTGGAGGCAAGTATATCCACAAAACACTGCTGTTGGCAAGATTGCATTAAATATACTAATGACATTTACTTTTACATTTCTATGTAAGACCACATTATAACAAATGTTTACATAAGCAAGTAATTTTTAAGCAAAAAACAAAACAGACTTCAATTCCCATATAAAAATTTTAGATTATCGTTAATTTTTTCATGATCCAATGATCGGATTTAAACCAAATTAGAATGGGACCACTTGTGAGGTACCCTTTCCTTTCCTTTAAAAAAAGAATTATAGTAATCGGTTAACGTGGTCCAAAGTTATGTGGTAGCATATATAAAAAAAATAAAATATTCCGACGAATTGATAACCTTCTCCTTTTTGGGAAGGCGGTTAAAAACAAATACACCAGCAAGCTTTCAGCGTCAAATGATTTCAGGGTAAAATTGTTAAAGCACCCAATAAACTTAAAGGAAATAATAAAATCATCAAAACAATTTTCACATTAAAGCTAAAGGAGCATAAATTTTGCATTGTGTTTTCTTGTTTTCGTACACATTTGAAGAGGGGTGCCGCGAATTTTTTTTTAGCACAACAAGGGTGCCGCGGCGAAAAAAGTTTGGGAACCCCTGGTTTAAACAACGATCTTGCCCTGATGCTAGATTGTGAATTATTGCACCATAATAAAAAAATAAATATAACTGAAGGTCCTCTCAACTGGTGCAGCGTCAATCGAAAAAATTCACAATTTTGTCAAGCTTCAAGTTTTTCAAGTTTGTCGCCTCGAGCGAGTAGTTATTTAGTGGCGCAGGTTCGGCTGTAACCCGAAAAGGCAGCAAAATTACTCTTTCCTGAATACAATGTTCCAATTTTTTAATTTAAGTACTAAATAAAAAACATTATTAAAAATTACTAACTTTTCCATTTTTATTTACCTAATTCACCTAATGTACTCACCAAAATTATTTCTTAAAAATATTTGACATCCGCATTCGCATCCACATCCGCGGATGTTAGCTTTTAAATTTCACATTCGCAACATCCCTAGTGTGTGGGCATTTTGATGTCTTGAAATAAGCATTTGCCGCATGACGCCACCAGACAACATTCTCTCAATCTCGGTGTTTAAAAACATTTAAATCTTAAAAAAACTTGCTGAATAATTTCCTAAAACGTAATCATAAATAATCCATTAGAGAACAGATTCTTATTTTGATTTAATATGAAAATTTCATCGATGCTACCACCAGCACGCTTTCTTTCAAATGAAAATATGGCTGTCAAACTATCAAATTGCCTGCAATAGATGTCAAGCAATAAGCGCTGACATATATTGCAGTCCATGAGCGGTCTCCATTGGAAATATATTTCGTGACATAGTTATCACGACATCAGTGTTTTCCTGTGGAGACAGGGCCTTAACTATCTTCGTTTTCCATCACGATCAGCGTTACCGTTTTGATACAATTTAATAATTTTTGATACTTTTTTTCTAAATTGTAAGATTTGACACTTTGATATTTTTTTGTACACAAATTCCCTATTTTGATACTTTCGGCTAGCAGAAATAAATTTTTGAAAGCTATGAATAATATTACTAGTTTAAAGGCAAATATTTTTTTCTTATTATTTAAAGTCTCAAAATTTATAAATAGATATTTATAAGTTTGATTTGCTAACTCTTATAAGGGAAAAACAACTCGGAGTTTCTTTGCACGCGCCGCTGTTATAGGGCCTCTAAACCACAGAAAAACATTGTGCAATATCGGGCTTGCGTATAGCGACAACTGCGAAATGTTTAGTCTAGATTTGATTTTGGTATCGTGCTGTAAGGTATGGATAAGAGCGTAGAAAAAAATTATTATTTTTTAATACTTTGTTTTGCGTTTTAAATCTGAAGCTATCAAAATATACAATGCACATTCATATTTCTTGCACATATTTACTTGAGCAACGTTTCTCCAAAATAAGGTTTGCGCAATTTTATTCTGTAGTAGTTTCCACAATATTGACTTTTACAAGTATCGGGTTGCGCAATGCTTTTGTGTGGTTTAGGGGCCCTATAAGTTTTTTTTTTGTTATGCAAATAAGCAAGCAGATTCTCTGTTTTTTTTAACAAAAGTAATATACATTTTTTTTATAACTTTGGATTTAATTACAAAATTATATTTATTATTTGTTTTTTTTTTTATAAAAGTTTAACAAATAACAGTTATGTTTGCTTTTGATACTTTTTCTTCTCGGCAACTGATACTTTTTTTTCAAGCTCGCGGCAACGCTGATCACGGTGTGTGTTTGTGGCGAGATGTCAACTTCATGTTATTCATATTGAAAGTGATGTTAACTCCTCTGCTCTGTTCCGGGTCGCCATGTTATTCATACTGGACGTGATGTTAACTTCTCTGCTCTGGTCCGGGTTCTAGTATTACGTCCGCCGAAGATAAATAAATTTGTTCGTGGTGCGTCTTCTGTATACTGTTTATTCTATGGTAGTATATAGGAAGCAATATGCACATACATATGTATGTATGTAAGAACGTTATCAGCAGGGAACGGATTTTAGGACCTAAAAACCTATAAAAAAGGCAAAATAAAATAACGAAATAGGCTGGAAAAGGCAAAACAAAATAGCGAAAAAGGCAGGAAATGGCACTAGGTATTGCAAAAAAAGCAAAATAAGGCACTAAAAAAAGACAGAAAATACGAAGAACAATCAAAAAATACATTTATTTTAGAAAGGTTTATATTAAATACAAGTAAAAAGAGAAAAACTATGA